CACCTGAAGCCTGAGCCTGCCTTTTATCTGTTCATCTCCTTACACCTTGCTTATCTCCACCTTTCCTGGGACACCCTTTGAAGGATCTTGTCACCCCAAGGTTCCCTGTAACCCCAGTTGAGAATCATTGTACAGAGTAGTCACATTATTCCAGGAGGTGTGACTAAGATAAACACCAAATAACATGAGATTAGAGGCAGCCCAGCTTAACTATGGTGTTAGTGAAGGAGAATTCTCTAAAATGTCCAACTATTCCTAGAAGAGATGCCAAGTCGTTATATTCTGGAAGATGAGGTATGTGTGTGTTTCAGAGAGGGGCATGAAGGATAGGAGGTCTTTGAGGAGCTGTCCTGTGAGTTTTCAGGACGTAGGGTCCTTCGCCCTGTTGTGGAATTAGCTGCTATTTATTTTGTTCTTAGCATTGTGTCAGGTGAGTACAGAGTTAGGCTCCTTTTTTAATATTTTGTGTACGTGAAAATATTGTAGACATGTGAGATTATTATTTGGGGCCTTTGGGAATATTCTGTTTTTAGTGCCTGTTTAACAACATTGAGAAGTGTTTTATTTTACTTATAATTTCTTTCAAGCCTGATGTGCACAGTTAGCCTAACTTTGTAAGGTGCCACGCTGCCCTGCCTTCTATCAAACTTCAGACTAAATCAGCTAACCACTTCAGCCTGGTGATTCAGACGAGAAAAGACTGCCCCCCTCTGGTTGGTTTAATTATATGCTTTCTTTTGTGTATTGCAATAATCTTCTGAGTGTTTTACAAGCATTAAGGCTCCCTTCTAATGCCTCTGAGAAGCATTATTGCCACTATTGAAGGGAGAACAGAGTTAAAGCAATGAAGTGAATGCAGTAAATCAGTGGCAGTGTTAAGACTCAGCTCTTAATTCCTCTGCCTAGATTATTACTCAACCTTCTTTTGTACATTTTATAATTAATCCATATTTGAGCTGTTTATTTTGGAGCTCTAACTCTATAATCAGAGCAATGACTCTTGTTCCTGACTGACCTATATTAGTGTACAGTTCTTGGTGGCAAGTTCCAATGTAGCTTTCCACTGACAGGTTTTACAAAAATCTTTGTAAATTATCTGTTCCCCTTTTGAGTGGTTCTGGCAGGGCCATCCCTAGGGGGGACGAATTGGGGCCCCCTACACTTTGGGGGGCCCTGCGGAGCTGGGTGGAGCGGCCGTGGAGACTCTGCACTGCCTTTGCTTCATATTGAGCCGCTCGGTAGTGCCATCCCTCCACCGCTGCCGAATCCACTGCTTCCAGCCACTCGGCACTCTCCCCCTTCCCCCCGCTGCTGAATCTGCTGCCAGTTTCCTCGTGTCCGGGAGTGGGGCCCCGCACAGGCTGACTTGCCCTGGGCCTCGCACCCTGCTCTGGGTTCTGGAATGTCTCTGATTAGCTTTCTGGTTGAATGAACAAAGGCTGTCTGTAAATGGAAACCACTACCTGATACTGAACAGAATAGGCAAGACCTTTGGGAAAATTAAGCTGAACATTTGGTGCATGTTCTGACAAGTGTTAGTGGAAGTCTCCTGAGTGCTAACACACTTTATCTTCTGGAACATTTTAAACTAGACAGTACTGTAGTAAATCTTCTTGGAGAAACAATCCTGTGTTGGTGGGGAGATGCACTAGGTATACTTTTTTCTGTTTCCTTGCATGTTAGTAGAGGTGCACCGATATATTGGTGCCATACCAGATTGGCACTGATAAAAGGAAAATTAATATTATTGGCTTTTTTTGGCTGGTGTAGCCAATAATACATTGATAAATGTACTGTGCCCCTATAATATGCGCTAGAATATGGGGTCCCTAAACACTGCATGCACGTGGCCAGGAATGTAGCCAGGCAGTGTGGAGAGCAGTGCCTGGCAGGTAAGTCTGTAGAGGGGAAGGGGCACGGGGGAGGAAAAGGCTATGGTGGGTGGGGGGCAGATAGAGGCCCCTTTAGTTCAATTGCTGCCACTACCATTTTTAAGCGCCAGGACGCTTTTAACCGGAGCTGAGTGGGGCAAGGGCAGAGGCCGGGCTGCCTGCTGTGGGCTCGGGGCTCTCTGCCCTGCTGCTTTTGTCCTGGGACCTGTGTGTTGGCCATGTTGTGTCCCCTGCCCATTCAGCAGCAAGAGGCACAGCTGGCCACAGCCACTGCTGCCAGACAGGCAGGGAGCACAGCGCAGCCAATGTGCGGCTCCTGGTGCAAAGGCAGCAGGGTAAAGAGCCCCAAGCCCACAGGAGGTAGGCTGCCTGCCTCCACTAGCCCTGCTCAGCTTGGCTCTGGTTAAAAGCATTATGGCACTTTAAAAATGGTGGCGTTGGTACTTGTAGATCAAGTGTCCCTACTGCCATTTTTAAGTGCTGGGCTGCTGATCCCCTGAATGAGCCACCTGCAGCACAGTCCCACTCCCTCCCTCACTGTGAGGGCCTCGATCTGCCTCCTCTCCACAGACTTACCTGGAGGATGCTGCTCTCCATGCTGCCCAGCTGTATTCCTGTAAATTGGTTATCGGATTAGTATCAGCCAATATGCCTGGTAAATAATTGGTTATCAGTATCGGCCAAGAAAATCTTTATCAGTGCACCCCTACCTGTTAATAATATGTCCTCAATGACCTTTTAATAAAATCAAGAGAGTATCAGTAAACTGGTTCTTTTTGTTCTACCAACAAAAAGTGGTCTCGTATCTCTTTCCTTATTGTTTTTTACCATTGTTCTTTACTTTTACAAGGTCTCTTTATACATAATTAAATATTTTACTTCTTGCTATTAAAATAATAATGTAGATCCATATCATACAGCTTACCAGTATCAGATGTGTTGGGGTGTTAAGTTGGCCAGAGCTGAAAACCACTAGACCAGCGGTTCTCAACTTTTTTTTGTACCAGGACCCATTTGTAAACATCAGTGGCCAGTGCCCCTCACTCCTGACCTGCTGCCCCCAGGTCCCAGCTCCCCAGTGTATGGGCAGGGGGGTGGATGTGTGGGGCAGGGGAAGCCCCAAGCAGCCCCTCTCAGGCTGGAACTCTGCTAGCCTGCAGGGGAGAAGCCACGGTTTCCCATGTTTTTCTCTCTTAAAGGAGAATCCATTTTTAAAGTTTGTTCATAATCCTTTCATATATTCTTGTGACCCACTTTTGGGTCGTGACCCATGGGTTGAAAAACACTGTACTAGTGGATTGAACTTTGGAGCTTAAAAAAAGGGAAGCAATTGGAATTGAGTGGTCAGGTATTAAAAGGGTCAAAATTCCCCCTCAGTCCCTCAAGGGCAGTCAAAACTGGGAATGCTAATTGGTTCATTTGCATAATGTTAAAACACCTCTTGGACTCTTCGGTCCTCAGATTCCAATGGATGAGTTCAGACTTGCTTGTCCTTGGGAAGAATTTATAGTCATTTTCTTGAGTGGGGAGGGGGCAGCCTGATTGTTCATAAACTGTAGAAAGCAATGGGACATCATGTGTGACTAAGGCCATGCACAGGTGTTGTTTCTACTGAGAGACTCACCACTTTGCTATTAAAAACTAGGAGAATACAACTGAAATTGTTCATTCAATTTCTCCTGGAAGAAACATGCACTCTCTGGGAAAAGCATCTTTCAGGTTGACCCCTAGAAGACCTCCCCTACAAAAGAAGTTTCCTCACAAGAATGAACATGTGTACATTTTTGCTTCACTCCTCTGGCATCTGGGTGAATCAGGCAGGAGCTTCTCCAGTGCCTTCTCCAGACTGGGGAGATGCCTGTCTGGGGAAGGTTTTGGGGGAGGAAGCAT